ACCTAATCATTTTTGTTAACATAACAACAGACAGATCAAAATACATGTTGTGCTCCCAGCCGCGTAAGCGATTTGTGACACTTTTGTTTTAAATTCCAAAGTACACGTATATGGAAACGTTTGAGATTACATCGTATGATGGTACCTACTTTCAACAATACAATAAAGCGATACCGTGAATAAAATAATTTGCCTTTCCTAATAGTTTACCGTTAAATATTTGTTTTAAACATTTTCTCTTAATTTACACAGTTTAGGTAGTTACATTTCATTGTTATAATAGGTTTACATGAATTATCGAGTATTCATTATTTAAGTTATTTATGATAGTCGAAAACACATTACTACTTTTTTATTTTATGACTTTTATGGAATATGTTTACCTTAATTGAGACAGAAATTTAAAATAGACAATATTACACACCTAAAGTTTGTTTAAACAAAATATTTATTAACATTAGACGAGACAAATTTTTTTTTTAAAAAGCAGATACATAATTTTATGTTTCGTTGTCCATAATAAAAAAATACTATTGTTATGAAACTCAAAATAATAGAGTAGATACACTTTCGACTTTTTTTTTAGTAACTAATGTACAAAATTTCGTTTAAAATTATAAAAATTTTACATTAACCAAAAAAAAAAACTAAGCGAAATTTAGGGTAAAGTTATTGAAAATATGAAAAAGTTTTGCAAATTCATATAAAATATATCTAAGCGAAAACGTATTTATCATTTTTTTTATTGTGGTTGTTTTTTTGCTTTGGCGGGGATTCCATTATGACCTCATTTTAATTGTTCTCATGTCCCTACATGTTAATTATTTTCATACTTGCACATCTCCATAGATAAGCACATCTCATTACATTCCTTTTTGATTGTCAGGCCTATTATTTTTTCATAATTGTTGTACGTACTTTATTTCTTTCTTATATTTTTGACCTTTAGCTAGCTTTATTTCTTTTAGTATTCTCTCTCCTTAATATTTATTTATTAATTAGATACCGGGAATCGGAGTATTAATTCACTTCATTTATATTTTATTTCGTGATATTTATCACGCGGGTACTTAATAAATATGGGCCCCCCATTTACTTGGGTATTATATTATTTTTTCATAACATTCATTTCATTTTATTGGTACATAAACTTTTTTTTATCATACTATATCAAGGTAAAACTGTACCTTGGGTTGTGCGCACAACCTCGAGGTCAACTTTTAAGTCATTTTAAAAGGACTCCAACAATTGTCACGGAGGAAAACTAAGTTCACACTTTGATCCAATGAAGGATGTGACCTCTATGTACCATTATTAAGGGTAACAAATTTAAGACTTCTCTGGTCCCCAACAGTACTAATATGAGTAAATTCGTTCACATCTCACTTGTACTGAAGGTATTGTTCCCTAGTACCCGTTACTTCCGATTTTATCATCCAATCATGGAAACATACCCTGCTCGAGGACTATATGCTTTACCAGTGATGGACGTTCCCGTATCTCTCCATGATTTATTTATCAAGGTCATCTTTTATTTTATTTTGATTCTCTTCATAAATTTTTATTTCTTTCTTTATCTTTATAGTACCTGCTGTTTATCTACTTGACTGTATCGGTAACTTTTATATACTTTCATACTCAATTTCCATTACTAACTTTCATAATTCTCGCTCATAATGGTTTCAATACCAGGATTTTAAGCATCATCAAATATTTGGGTGATCAGTCCAATATTGACGAAACTTTGCAATTCCATCATTCGTATCCACACATTTGAACATTCCTTCTCTCATTCCTCACGCCTTTTAAATATATACTTTTTAATATTGTACAAAAAAATGAGGTAATATATGTCAACTTTGCATGTCCGTGTTTAACTTTGTTAAGAAACATTATTATTAAACCTTCTATTTTTTTTCCTTATCACATTAAAATGATAGTTTTAAATATTTTCTAACTGATACAAAAGTTTATAGTATAATTACATCGTATCGCTTATAGATATATTACTTTTACTTATATCGAAAAATATATTAGCATTAGTTATACATTTAATTTACATATAAAAATTTAGGATTGCTAGAAATTTAAGAAACCGTATAACCTACAGAAAATAATTTGTAATCACTATTACAGCTAAATTTATTTTAAACAAAACATTAAGTTATTTCCAATTTTGATTTTTAAGCAGGTTATATTAACTTTAAGGTAATTTATTAAAGGTTATGTATTTATTTATATAGTTACATAAAGGTTTTCATGCCTTTAGAAAAGAACACAATTATGATTTATAATAATAGCGATTTTTTTTTATAAAACCCTTTTCAAAATTGTATACTTACATTTAAATAACATTTATCACGGAAAAAAGTTTGGCTGAATTTAAAAAATGTATTTACTTTAATACGAATCTTGTCATTGTAAAATATAACTTAATATATTGTTTTTTTTTAATACAATACCTACTAAAATATTATAAATATTATAAAATGTTAAATTCAAGTTACTTGTAAATACCGTACATTAAATATTTAATGCATTACTTATTTATTTAATATAAAACATAATAAAACATTATTAAAATCAAATGTTAAAAATTACGCTGAAGCGATGTTACCTCTTAACTCTTCTTTTTCCTTTTCGGTTTAATTTTCATATCTTACTGGACAAAGCTCGCTAAAGCTCCTTATTAAATTAATTTGCTGTTTCTTGAGTTTTGGTCTTTGGCCATTATTTAAGAAATCACTTTTTATTCTTATTATTATTTCTTAGTTGCCTTCATAGTGATATTAACGATAAATATATTATATTACTTCATATACGTTATATTTTTTAAATTTTCAGTCAATTTTATTGTGGCCTCTTCTTGTATTCATATTTATTAATTTTTCGTCACATCCGGTATTGCGTCCATTCCGTTATAATATTTCTTTTATCTGTCATTTCTCTTCATTATTTAATTTAAATTTCTTATAATATTTAAATTTTTCTTATGTCGTAGGCCCCGGCGGTGCGCATGCATTGTCGCAGCGCACCGCCTGGCAGGGTCGCCATGTGATGTCGGCAGGTGTTAATGAAAGAGAGAAGACGTGTTGCTGAGACTAATCCTTTAATTATACTCATTAATAAACTTAAGAGAACATGTATTACTTACACTACTAGTAGGGTTGAGGCACATACACTACAACGTAGTCAAGATCACTTCATATGAAATATATTTAATTAAAATTGACACGTGACCTATTTGGCCTTCTACTTACAACTCGGCGGAAATTTGAAAAGAAGATTTTGTCTTTTCACACAAGTATTGTTTACAACTGGCGTGGTTTCTAAAAGCGTGATTAAGTGTCAGCGGTATATAATCAATTAAATACTGAACTTTTTTGAAATTTATTTTTTTGTTTATTTTTGTTATATCTTCTTAAAAACTGACGCCATCTCACTATTTTATTATTTATTTTATTTGTAACGCATACGGATAAGTTAGACTAAGTTAGATTAACTTGGGTAAGTTTATAATTTTTTTAATTTTATCACAAAATTTCCGCAATAAATTATTATTTGGATTGCGCAAATTTGACCATATTTCCCAATTTCGCTCACGTCTCAAGTGGTTACCTATCCGACTTCGCCGGAACGTGCATATACTTTCTATTCAGTACTGTGTATTATTTCACCCTTCTACTCCTCCCTATCTAAAGGAGAAGTTTAATTTTGTGGGGCTTCCGGGGGAACCCTTACGCTCTTCGAGAAAATTCATTTTAAGTGTGCCAACTCACAATACATCATTTTTCAATAAATCTTTTACTGTCCAGTCTATTAAGCTCTGGAATGCCCTACCTTTGCATATACGTGAGGCACAAACTATTGTTATCTTTAAGCGATTACTTAAAGAACATTACTTGTCTCAATCGTTCGGACACCGTTTGGATAGATTGTGTGATTATGTATTTATTGTATCTATCAGCTTTATATTATTGTTTGAGGAATTTTGTATATATATATATATATATATATATATATATATATATATATATATATATATATATATATATATATATATATATATATATTGATATATTGATATATATGTGTTGTGTGTATATTTATGTATATATGTTTATATATATGTGTATATGTATGTATTTGTATATATGTGTATGTATGTATGTATATGTATATATTGTTACGAGCTTGGGGTTCGAGACAATTAAAAACTGCCGACTGAATTACCAAAATTGACACTTTAATTACACAACACTAATTACAATCAAAAATCACACTAATAATAAAACACAGTTCGCCGTTATTTCGCTTCGAAGTATTCTCTTGTATCGCCAATTCAATACTGCCCCGGTCGTGGTCTATACCGGTCTTATATAGGGCCTCAGATAGTTTCCAGAACCTTCTACTGTAGCGACATCTAGAATGTTCGAGTACATATCGGTCCCGAAATTTCTGGAAGGATCTCGACTCTCCTAGTTCTGCTACTCGACAATAGAGGGCGCTAGTGTGACTAGTGTTGCCATGTACAAGACATTAATAGTGGCGCGTAACACTGCCCCCTCCTAAGACATGCTCGTCCCGAGCATTATTGGCCCCATAATAAGGCGCCAGTCGATCCACATGGACAATCTTAGGAGTACCTCTGGCACCTTTCTGTATCCGGTAGGTTACATCATTGATCCTTGTCACAATCCGGTACGGTCCGTCCCATTTAGCTTGAAGCTTAGGAGATTTCCCTTTGCTGCGAACTGGATTGTGTAACCACACTAGTGAACCTTCATCAAAGCCCTTGTTGTTCATTTTGCGGTCATACCGTGTTTTCATCTTCTCAGACGTTTGCTGGCCCGTCTGTCTGACGTGCTCATAAATGTCATTCATTTTGTTCCGCAAGTCATTTGCATAATCGGTTATACTACGTGGGGCATCAGGTGGTATTCCGGTGATCAGGTCTGCAGGCAGCCGCAATTCTCTCCCAAAGTTTGCGAAAGCTGGTGTCACTGATGTCTTTCGTGAACAGCGCTTCGATATGACAACAAAAACGGTTGTATGTGCCTGTCCCAGTCTCGTTGCCGTTTTTCCACAACTTTTGCTAGGTACCTCTCCAATGTCTGATTAAATCTTTCTACCATTCCATCAGATTGTGGGTGGTAAGAAGTTGTTCGTGTTTTCTGAGTACCCATAACTCGGCAAGTTTCCTGGAATATTTGAGACTCAAAATTCCTTCCTTGATCGCTGTGAATCTCTAAAGGTACTCCAAAACGACAGAAGACTTCATGAACTAGTTTATCTGCAACTGTTGAAGCTTCTTGATTTGGAATGGCGAAGACTTCTGGCCACTTAGTGAAGTAATCCATCACTACCATGAAATACTTGTTACCACTTTCAGTTTCTGGAAACGGCCCCGCAACGTCAATGGCTATCCTCTCCCATGGTGCACCAACATTGTACAATTTCAATGCGCCTCTACTACGAATTTGAGGTCCCTTTACAGCCGCACAACTTGTACATTTGCGGCACCAGTCCTCGACATCGTCACGACAGTGGACCCAGTAAAACCGTTCTCGGATCTTCAGGAGAGTTCGTTTAACTCCCAGGTGGCCTCCTGAACAACCACTATGGTACAGCTGTAGAATATCCGGCACTTTAGCCTTAGGGACAACCATTTGCAAATGACACCTGTCTCCCCGACCATTTTCCCATTTACGGCACAGGACTCCATCCTGAATCAGCAAGCTGTCCCATTGGGCCCAATAGCTTTTCGTGGTCGAACTCATTGCTGAGACGTCGCTCCACCATCCCACGCCTTCATCCATTCCAGAATCGGCTTAATGTCCGAATCTTCCTGCTGTGCATGTTGTAGGCTGTCCTTCCACTCATTGCTGAGCTGGTCTGTCCTGAGCATTCTCACAGATACCACTTCCTTACCCTCTTGCCTAGTACAATGCTTGCAATCTTCAGGGCAAGGTCTTCTTGACAATGCATCTGCATTGCCATGAGATTTCCCGCTGCGATATTCGATCACAAAGTCGTATTCCTGCAGTAGTTCTATCCATCTCGCAACTTGTCCTTCCGGATTTTTGAACTGCAATAGCCATTTCAGTGCAGCATGGTCAGTTCGTAAGTGGAATTTCCGCCCTAGAAGATATTTGCTAAAATGCTGCAAGGACTTTACCACAGCAAGCAATTCCCGTCTTGTGACACAATAGTTCCTTTCCGGCTTTGACAACGACTTGCTGAAGTACGCTATCACAATCTCTTGATCACCATTCCGTTGAGACAACACACCGCCAAGTCCTATATCACTTGCGTCTGTGTCAACTATGAATTCCTTGCCCGCATCAGGGTACCCCAAAATAGGTGTTTTGCACAGGCGGTTCTTGAGCTCCTGGAATGCAATATCGCAACTTTCATCCCAGCAGAATTGTCGCTTCTCCTCGGTTAGCTTGTGCAGAGGTTTGGCTATATCTGCAAAGTTCTTCACAAATCGCCGATAATAAGAGCACAAACCCAAAAATGCTCTAACCTGTGTCTTGTCTTTTGGGACCGGCCACTCCTTGACAGCAGCAATTTTCTCTGGATCCGTGCGGATACCTTCTTCCGACACTACATACCCCAAAAAACTAACTTGCCGTTTGAATAGTGAGCACTTCTTTGGACTCAACTTGAGGTTGGCACTCTGGATCTTCATGAGCACGCGTTCCAGGTTTTGAAGGTGTTCCTCAAACGTACGGCCTACGATGATGATGTCATCCAAATAGACCAGACAAGCATCTCCAATTAGCCCGGTAAGTACAAGCTCCATCAACCTTTCAAACGTTGCTGGAGCATTGCACAATCCAAACGGCATGACTTTGAATTGCCACAGACCCTTTCCTGTGGAGAATGCAGTTTTCTCCTTGTCCTTAGGGTCAATTTCAACCTGCCAGTAGCCACTTTTCAGATCTAGCGTACTAAACCACTTTACGCCTGTAAGCATATCCAGCGTGTCATCAATTCTTGGCAAGGGATAGCTGTCCTTCTTTGTAATGTCGTTCAGGCGGCGATAGTCAACACAAAACCGCATGCTGCCGTCCTTCTTCTTTACCAGCACCACAGGTGAACACCATGGACTAGATGAAGGTTCAATAACACCATCCTTCACCATTCCCTCAATCATGGTTTCCACTTCCTTTTCACGTGCTACAGGCAATCTTCTTGGCCGCTGACGAATAGGCAATTCTTGTCCTGTGTTTATTTTGTGTTGAACTAAGCCAGTCTTTCCTATGTCAGCTTCGTTTGACGAGAAAACATTGGCGTACTTGAGTAACAACTTCTTCGCCTTGACCATTTCATTCGGGGAAAGAACGCTGCGACAGTCTTCCAAAAGTGTGGTCACTATCGTTTGTCCATCCTTGCTGGGGGTCCCGGTCGATAGATATTCGCATCGACGCAACCAATCCACTTCCTCACTAGTACCAACCAATGTGCCTTTTTCTATAATCTGTTCCTGATCACAAAGGTTCAACACACGTACTCCTGAGATGTCGGTGGTTCTGACCAAGGTTCGAGCCACTTTCCATGGAAGGTCATTGTCTACCCTTTCCACGAGTACACAACGATGGGCTTGCCCAGGACTCCGAGGAAGACTAACCGGCACAATCGTTTCCGATCTCGGCGGAAGAACAATCTTCTTAAGGCTGTACACATTCCCTGGTAACGCCCCTTCCACGAAAAGTTCTTCTTGTCCACATTTCAAAACACCTTGCTTAACGTCGATCTCACAACAATTCTTCCTCATAAAGTCTAGGCCCAGGATGCAGTCGTCCATTATATCAGCCACGATGACATTATGCAGGTAGATCATGTTGCCTAGCTTCAACTCCATCTCCTTCTCTCCACGGACGGGTATGCGCTGACCGGTGGCTGTCACCAAATTAATGCGTTCTCGGTTGTATGCGGAGTCCCCAAGGAACCGACTTATAAGTTGGGAACTGACAACCGTGCGAGAGGCTCCAGTGTCTATGGTCAGTTTACACGGCGTTCCGTTGACTTCGCCCTTGATGATTAGGCTGTTCCCATCATGGGTTTGTGAGATCGAAATTCTTGGGACTCTTTTAACATCAGCCAGCACCCGCCCCGCAGTCCTGGCTTTTACTCGTTTCCCTGCTGCTGCTGGGTGGTGCTATTATCCGCACTACCCTCTCGAGATCGATCACCTTTCCTTTCTACAGTTCGTTTAGGGCAGCTGGATCGAAGATGGCCCCTTTCCCCACAGCCGTAGCACTTAGGGTTATAGCCCTTATTGCGGTCCTGAACTGTAGCTGCTGCAACCTCCCTGACGCGGTGGGAACGATGATCCTGCCGCACGGCTTCCACCTCCAGTGCATGGGTCAGGGCGTCCTTAAGCGTCTGGTGGTGCCCGAGCCTCACAGCAGCTCTGACTTCAAGGTCGCGGATGCCGTCGATGAAAGTCTGCACCAGGTTCCCTACAATGAGCACAGGTACAGACTGGTACGCTTTTCGAACCAGCTTCTCCACCTCAAGGGCCCACTGCTGCAGGTTTTCGTTACTGCGTTGCACGTGATCTTTGAGCTGCGCACGAAAGACGTGTTCCAGGTGAGCATCGCCATATCTCGCCTCCAATGCCTCAAGGAGCTGCTCGTAAGTCACTTCCTTACCGAGCGCTTCCAAAACAGTTAAGGCCTGGTCGCGTAGGCCTAGGGTGAGAGCAGTCATGGCCTGACTTTTATTCCAGCCGTTCGCTTTCATGACAGCCTCGAACTGGATTTTGTAGGCCGACCAGGAAGAACTCCCGTCGAACGGCGGCACTTTGAATCCACGTAGCGAAGGTGTTGTAGCTACCACGGGAGCTGTGATTCCATCCCCAAGTTTGAGGTCGTCCAGCGTTTTCTTCACATCAGCCATCACGTTGTCAACCCGATTGTTCACTTGGTCGATTCGGGTTTCAGCTTCCGACAGGCGGTTGTCATGTTGAGCAACCCTATCCTTCACCTCCTTTATCTCTTTCCCGAAGGTAGCGTGAAGGTCCTTCCTGAGGAGCATCTGTTCTTCCATACCGCGCTGCAGCTGCTCTTCCAGCCGACGGGTCTGTTCCTCCTGTCGGCGGGCCTGTTCCTCCTGTCGGCGAGCCTGATCCTGCAGCATCATCATCAGAGCACCCAAGTCAGGTGCTGCAGATGCAGGAGCTGCTGACGGGCCAGCCTCCGTGGTTAGCAACTGGCCCTCCGACGTTTGCGGCGTTGCATTACCAAATCGTCTCTGGTCCGTCTCCTGTTGGCGTTGACTTCGGGTACGGATACCCTCCGTGTCGTCTTTAGGTAAAATCGGCATATTTGATCCCACTTCTGACACCAATTGTTACGAGCTTGGGGTTCGAGACAATTAAAAACTGCCGACTGAATTACCAAAATTGACACTTTAATTACACAACACTAATTACAATCAAAAATCACACTAATAATAAAACACAGTTCGCCGTTATTTCGCTTCGAAGTATTCTCTTGTATCGCCAATTCAATACTGCCCCGGTCGTGGTCTATACCGGTCTTATATAGGGCCTCAGATAGTTTCCAGAACCTTCTACTGTAGCGACATCTAGAATGTTCGAGTACATATCGGTCCCGAAATTTCTGGAAGGATCTCGACTCTCCTAGTTCTGCTACTCGACACTAGAGGGCGCTAGTGTGACTAGTGTTGCCATGTACAAGACATTAATAGTGGCGCGTAACAATATTATATGTGTTATCTTATATTTTATTATGTGTTAGTAATTTATATTATTTCATGTATTACTTAGTTATTTATATCTTTTTTTTTTGCATTTATTATTTGTATATTTATATTGCACCACCTACCACCTACCTATTCATTGTTTGTATTACTTTACACCTTTGGTTGCCTGGAAGAGATCGCTATGTAGCGATAAGGCCGCCAAATTGTACATATTATAATCAGATTTTTGTTATGACATTTGTATATTTGTTCGTGGTGTACAATAAAAGTATATTCATTCATTCATTCATTCATACCTTTTCTACAGTGATTCTCTCCTTTTAGTTTCGGCATGACTGTAGGATGTTATAGTGAGTCACCGTTAGTTAGTAAGCGGCCATAAATCATTATATGTATGTATAGACATACATATATACATTTTTTGATTTTAATATTTATGTTTTTTTGAATTTTGATTGATTTTTTGAAACCTGGTAAAATTATTTTTTTCCATACTAATTGATGGGCCTGAGTATAATGCCAGTTATGCTCTTTGACTGAAGTTATTTTTTATTTTATGCTCAATTGCAGACCAAACAATATTGATTGCGCATTTCCAAAACAAAATTTTACCTCTTCTCCTTCTAATAATAGCTCCTGCACCTAACACGGCGGAATAGTTATTATTATCTCTAATACCATTTACGGAAACAGTTTTTGTTAACAGTTATGAGTGTAACATTTTATCAGCTGCTTTGTTTATAGTGCCTTGAGCAACACTTTGCCGGTTTCTGTACAGAAAATGATGCTGGCTTTGCAAATATGAATGGCCGCTACCATTGAATATAATACCCGCTATTACACTTATTTACATAGAAACTTTAATTATCATTTGCATAAAATTCTAAATAGCACTTTTTACACAAGAAAGTAAACTTTTAGGTCAGTCCAT